ATCGAACCCAGGACCTTCCAGTCCGCAGGCCGACCTCTATCCGCTGAGCCAAACCGGTTTCGGCAGTCTCTGGGAATCTTGAGGATCAAGGAATCATGGGGTGAACCAGGAGGTCATGGTTCGATTCCCGGTCCAGGGCACATGCCCCGGTTCTCTCTCATCATGGATATTTTTTTTTTTAAATATATACTTAAAAAATATATATATATATTTTATTGATTTTTTTACAGAAAGGGAGAGAGATGGAGAGTTAGAAACATCGATGAAAGAGAGTCATCGATCAGCTGCCTCCTGCATGTCCCCCACTGGGGATGTGCTCGCAACCAAGGTACATGTTCTTGACCGGAATCGAACCCGGGACCGGAATCGTCTGCAGGTTGATGCTCTATCCACTGAGCCACACCGGCTTTGGCAATATATACTTTTTATTGAGTTCAGAGAGGAAGGAAGAGGGAGACAGAAACATCCATGAGGAGAGAGAATCATGGATCTGCTGCCTCCTGCACGCCCCCCACTGGGGATTGAGCCCACAAACCTGGGCATGTGCCCTTGATGGGAATTGAACCCAAGATCCTTCAGTCTGCAGTTTGAGGCTCTATTCACTGAGCCAAACTGGCTAGGGCCTCCATACATTTTTAAAATGTTTTTTAAAATATATATTTTTTTATTGATTTCAGAGAGGAAGGGAGAGGAAGAGAGAGAGAGAAACATCAATGATGAGAGAGAATCATGGATCCTCTGCCTCCTGCACGCCCCCTACTGGGGATCAAGCCCACAACCAGGCATGTGCCCAAACCGGGAATCAAACCGTGACCTCCTGGTTCATAGGTCGATGTTCAACCACTGAGCCACACCGGCCGGGCTCATCATTGATGTTTCTATCTCTCTCTCCCTCTCTGAAATCAATAATATTTAATAATATATTAAATCATGGGGGCCTGGGGCTAAGGGGGATCCTACCCGTTGAACTCTGAGAGCATCTGGAAAGAAGCTTTTGTCATCAGAGATGTTAAGTTTCCTGGGGGCCGGAGGGAAGATGGCTGGGCTGTTTGGAAGGAGTATCAGCTCTCATTTGTCTGATCTGATGAATGCAAATAACGCTTCCTGGCGTTTAAAGCAAACGCAAATGCCTCCAAGGGCCGGGCAGGTAAATGAGGGACTGAAGTGACCGCATGGAAGGGCACACAGGACAGAACAGATGGACGGATGGACGGATGGACGGACAACTGGAGCCGCTGCTGCACGGAGCCTAATGCTTCCGTTTGGAACTACGGCCCCAGGACCCGGCCAGCCGCGTCAACAGTTCCAGGGAAGCCGGAACTCAGGGTTTCTTTTCTTTTAAAAAAAATATATTTTATTGACTTTTTACAGAGAGGAAGCGAGAGGAATAGAGAGCTAGAAATATCGATGAGAGAGAAACATCGACCAGCTGCCTCCTGCACACCCCCCACCAGGGATGTGCCCGCAACCAGGGTCCATGCCCTTGACCGGAATTGAACCTGGGACCCTTCAGTCGGCAGGCCGACGCTCTATCCACTGAGCCACACCGGCTTCGGCTCAGGGTCTCTTCTCATGAAATCTCCAGGTGTCACAGCGTGTGCTCGCAGCCCTGCTCCGTGGCCGGCCCCGTCTGCCTCTGCCCCAGCTCCTGCTGGGCTGCCTCCCTGGGACCTTCCTCTCGTCCTTGGGTTCCCACGTCAGGGAGTGTGGCCAGTGTTCCGGGCCATTTCCCCGGGGCCCAGGTGAGGGGTTCCTGGGCTTGGAGTCGTCCTGATAAGGCAGGCTTGGGCCATGCCTCACTGGCTGCAGCCCTGGTTTGGTTTTCCTGGACGGAAAGGGAGGGCAGATCTGCTGGCTCTGGCATGGCTTAGTTTGTGGGTCCGGGCCGGTGGGTGTGGAGTGTGGGAAGAGGCAGCAGCTCCTAGGCCTCAGCTATCAGGATCAGAGATGAGGGGAGTGGTGGAGGGGAGGGGGGGGGGAGGAGAAAGGGGGAAGAGGTAAGCAAGCTCCGCCAGCCTACTCCCTACATTTTTTATTTAAAATATATATTTTATTGAGTTTTTTTTAATTTTTAAAAATATATATTTTATTAATTTTTTTACAGAGAGGAAGGGAGAGAGAGAGAGAGCTAGAAACGTTGATGAGAGAGAAACATCGACCAGCTGCCTCTTGCACACCCCCTACCGGGGATGTGCGCGCAATCAATGTACATGCCCTTGACCGGAATCGAACCTGGGACCTTTCAGTCCGCAGAACGACGCTCTACCACTGAGCCAAACCGGCCTCGGCTATTTTATTGAGTTTTTACAGAGAGGAAGAGAGAGGGATAGAGGGTTAGAAATATTGATGAGAGAGAAACATCCATCAGCTGCCTCCTGCACACCTCCTACTGGGAATGTGCCCGCAAGTAAGGTATGTGCCCTTGACCGGAATCGAACCTGGGACCCCCTCTCCCCCAAGTCTGCAGGCCGACGTTCTATCCACTGATCCAAACCGGTTTCGGCTCTTTTATTTTGTTTTTAAAATATATTTCTTTATTGACTTCAGAGAGGAAAGAAGAGGAAAAGAGAGAGAGAAACATCAATGATGAGAGAGAATCATGGATCGGCTGCCTCCTGCACAACTCCCACTAGGGATTGAGCTCAACCCAGGCATATATATATATATATATATATATATATATATATATATTTTTTTTTTTTTTTTTACTAGAGGCCTGGTACATGAAATTCATGTACTTGTGTATGGGGGGATTCCTCAGCCAGGCCTGCACCCTCTTGTCCAGGAGCTTAACACTAACAACCCCCCCCACCCCTCCCACACATACACACTATTCAGTTCTGTTAGAACTTAGGGGTTGGGCCAGCTTTGAGTGCTATTTAAAGCCTCCAGATGCCTCCAGTGTGTAACCAGGGTGTAACTAAACTGGTCTAGTCCAGCCTCCTCATTGTAGAGATGAAAACACGCAAGAGGACAAACAACCCCAGGAAGATGAAAAAAAAAATTTTTTAAGAGACAGAGTATAATGCAAATTTTTTTTAAGAGACAGAGTATAACAGGGTAAGTGCCCAAGAGGGGAGCTATTGTGATGCCATTATTTCTCTCATCGCTCTATGAGGGTCCATGCTCTGCTGGCATTTAACTTTTTTTTAAAAACAAGGGGTCTCATGGTTTCACTTTGCACTGGGCCCTGCAAGTGTTGGAGCTGGTCTTTGCCCTAAGCAGAGTGGGTTATCACCCCCATTAAAGGAAGGGTTTCGGCTCAGTGGATAGAGCATCGGCCTGCGGACTGAAGGGTCCCAGGTTCGAATCCAGTCGGGGGCCAAGGTACACTTGGTTGCGGGCACATCCCCAGTGGGGTGTGTGCAGGAGGCAGCCGACCCATGCTTCTTTCTCATCATGGATGTTTCTATCTCTCCCTCTCCCTTCTTCTCTGAAATGAATAAAAATATATTTTTTAAAAATGGGATCCTTCACCCCAGGGAATTTGTCTCCATGGGAGGCCCAACTATGATAATTCCCAGACATCTGCTTTTCACACCCAAACTAAGGACAAGCAGTTGGTGGGGCGGGGAGTTTGAGGGGAGAGAGGTTTCATTGCAAATTGGGATGTATAGGCAACAGGGCCCTTCAGGGAAAGGTGGCTGCTACTGCCCTCAGGTGGCGAACCTAAAAACCAAGGGAATTAAAAAAACCTGATGAACAATATTAACTGGTAAATATAATAGAATCAGAGGTATGGAAGGGGAGTGGACTGACGATTCTCGGGGGGAAAAGGGGAGTGGGGGTGCGGGAAGAGACTGAACATAAACTGTGCACCTATGGATGAGGACAGTGGGAGGTGGGGAAAGGGCAGAGGGTGGGGTGGGAACCTGGTGGAGGGGAGCCATGGAGGGAGGGGTGGGAAAAAAGAGGAACATTTGTAATAGTATGAACAATAAAGATTTACTTTTTTTTAAAAAAAAGAAATATACAAATGGACAGAAAATTCGGAGCTCTCACTGCATGTGCTGTTACATACAGTCTTTTTTCTTTTTAATGTAACATTATAAAAAAAAAGTTATTTTAAAAAGATACACATGAGGTCTTCCTCCTAGGGTACCATTCCCATTCGAGATCTTTCCAATTTTTCTCAAGTCAGAGCAACTCTATGGATCTGATTATCTCATTCAAAGAAACTCCTCTAAGTTAACTTGGCCAAAGGGAGTAAACTTCTCTATTTTAATAATCTTACTTAAATTACAGAAAATTAAAGTCCTCACATTTGCTTCAACCCCATAGGAAGTCTAGGGTGGCTTCAACCTAGTGCCAGTTGTCGGCAAACTCATTAGTCAACAGAGCCTGTTTTTTTTTGTACTGTTGACTAATTGTACTGTTGACTAATGACTAAACTCATTAGTCAACAGTACAATTGACTTTTTTTTTTTTTGAAAGCCAAATTTTTTAAACTAAAACTATATAGGTAGCTACACTGTTATTAACTTAATTAGGGTACTCCTAAGCTGGCCTTTGCTAAAAACTCCATGTGGCTCGGGAGCCGCAGTTTGCCGACCACTGAGTCCTAGCAGGATTCCTGGAGGCCCGCAGCGCACCTGCGCACAATCGCCCAAAGGCACACACCTTCCCAGGAGGGAACTTTACAAGACCTAGCACCACCCCTTTAAATTTTAAAACGAACCCCCTGGCCAATCAGCGTTAAGTTCTTCCCCGAAACACGGGGCCCCGCCTACAGACACGCCTTTCGCCAATCGAGCAATAGGCCTGCCTCCACGCCCTCCCAATCAGCGCCGAGGAGGGCCGGGCGCTCACGTCCATTACGTCAGGCCGGGGGCCAATAAGAGCTGTGATTGGACGCTGCCTCCGCCAATAGGAGTGTTTCCTGGAGAGCGCGGGAGCCTTTTGAGCCGAGTCTCGGGGAGAGATAATGGCGCTGGTTCCCTGAAGCAGAGTCTGGGGGAGCCCGAGCCCCCCCGGGAGCGGCGGCGGCGGCAGCGGCGGCCATGGCCTGTTGTCACCACGTCATGCTGCTGCTGGACACGGCGGGCGGCGCCGCTGTCCGGAGCCCCGTCCGCCGGGCCGCCCTGCGCCTGCTCCTCTACCTCAGCCGCCGCTTCGGCCTCGCGAGGGTCCGCTGGGCCTTCCGGTTCTTCGACTCTGAGGGGGCGCGCGGCCGGCCGTCCCGCGTGTCCGACTTCCGGGAGCTGGGCGGCCGCTCCTGGGAGGACTTGGAGGAGGAGCTGGAGGCCCGGCTCGGGGACGGCGCTGCCGCCGGCGCCCGGCTCCCCGGCCCCGCGCCCCGGGCCGCGCACACGCACGCCGCCCTCATGGAGACGCTGCTCGACTACCAGTGGGACCGGCCCGAGATCACGTCGCCCGCCAAGCCCGCGCCGCGCCGCCGCGGGAGGCGCCTGCTGGACGCCGAGAGCGACGAGGCCGCCGAGGCCGGCGCGGCGCTCGGGGGCTTCGCCAACGCCGTCTTCCTGCTCGGCCCCTGCCCGCGCTCGCAGCGGGAGCTGCTCCAGTTCGTGTCCGGCTGCGAGGCCCGGGCCCCGCCGCCCACCCCGAAGCAGCTGATGGACAAGCTGCTGCCCAGGAGGCTCCAGGAGGTCATGGTCACCCGGAAGGTCACGTTGTACTGGGTGGACACCACCGAGAGGTCAAAGGTGAGAGGGCGCCGTGCCTTCCGGGGGTTCGCCGGGTTCGGGGCAGCCCTATAGGCAAGACGCTAGGCGAGGGGGGGGGGTCTCGCGCCGAGGCCGGTGTGGCTCAGTGGGTAGAGCGCCGGCCCGCGCGGACTGAAAGGTCCCGGGTTCTATCCCGGTCAAGGGCATGGACCTTGGTGGCGGGCACATCCCCAGTGGGGGGGGGGTGTGTGTGCAAGAGGCAGCTGATCGATGACTCTCATCGATGTTTCTATCTCTCTCTTCCTCTCTGTAAAATAATCAATTAAGCCGAAACCGGTGTGGCTCAATGGATAGAGCGTCGGCTTGGGGACTGAAAGGTCCCGGGTTCGATTCTGATCAAGGGCATGTACCTTGGTGGCGGGCACATCCCCAGTAGGGGGGGTGTGTGTGCAAGAGGCAGCTGATCGATGACTCTCATCGATGTTTCTAAGTCTCTCTCTCTCTCTCTCTCTCTCCCTTCCTGTCTGTACAAAATCAATAAAATATATTTTCTAAAAAAATCAATTAAAAAAAAAAAAGTGTGTGTGTGTTGGGGGTGGGGGGTACCATTTTCTTCCTGGCACTTCAGTGAGTGAATAGTCCCTGAGAAACTACTACATTGAGAGCCACCTACACAGGGGAGTACCAGCCAGAGTGGAATTTACCTTCCAGGGGGAGTTATTTAGGGAAGATGGACCCATGATGTAGCTGAGCAAGTATGCGATAGGATTTCAAATAGTGATCTGAAGAAAAAACAGAGCTGCCGAGATCGGTGTGGCTCAGTGGATAGAGCGTCGGCTTGGGGACTGAAAGGTCCCGGGTTCGATTCCGGTCAAGGGCATGGACCTTGGTTGCGGGCACATTCCCGGTAGGGGGTGTGCAAGAGGCAGCTGGTCGATGACTCTCTCTCATCGATGTTTCTAACTATCTCTCTCCCTTCCTCTCTGTACAAAATCAATAAAATATATTAAAAAAAAAGAATTGGCACTGTGCCTAATATATATATATATATGAAAACAGCTGAATGACAGTCATCTTGGAACAGAGAATTGAATGGTGAAGGAGGAGGAATGTGAAGGTTGGGAAAGAACATTCCAGGCAGAGAGAGGACCTGATGTACCGATCTGAGTGAGAGATGAACTTTAGTTGATTTGAGAAACAAGAAAGACAAACTTGAGACTCGGAGAGGAAGGCAGGCCCCGGGTGGGAAGGTCAGGTTTTGTTCTAATTGATGGGAAGGTGTGGGTTTTTTTTTTTAACCAGGTGAAAGCTGATTCCGGTTTGTGGACATGCGTGTTGCTAATCGAGGAGTGGGTTAAAGTTGTAAGATTACACATGGAGAATGAGCAGTTACTTAAATAATGACATAGTATGTTAAAATTTTCAATACCGCCGAGACCGGTGTGGCTCAGTGGATAGAGCGTCGGCCTGCAGTCTGAAGGGTCCCAGGTTCGATTCCGGTCAGGGGCATGGACCTTGGTTGCGGGCACATCCCCAGTGGGGGGTGTGCAGGGGGCAGCTGATGGATGTCTCTCTCTCTCATCGATGTTTCTAGCTCTCTATCCCTCTCCCTTCCTCTCTGTAAAAAAATCAATAAAATATATTTTTTAAAAAGTAAATAAAAATGTCAGCACCTTTCACATACAAAGCCACCCCCAGCCTCCAAGGTGTAGCAAAATGCAAAACAAGGCAGCAGGCTTGTCAAAGAAAAGGACAGAAATGCCTGCGGGGATGGTACCCGTTTGGTAGGGAAAATGGAACATTTGTTCTGGCAGCAAAGCAAATGTTGGGCACAGCCCACAACACAGAAGCACTTGATTTGGGATAATATCAAATTTTACACTGACTAGAACTACATCTTTGCAGATGGGGGTCTGGAGATTCTTCTTCAACCTCCCACCCCCGTTTTCAGAATAGTTATATATATATATATTAATTTTTTACAGAGAGGGAGAGGGATAGAGAGCTAGAAACATCGATGAGAGAGAAACATCGTAGGGCATTGTCGTTTTGATTTGCATCTCTCGGATAATTAGTGACTTTGAGCATGTTTTCATGTGCCTCTTGGCCTTCCTTCTTTCTGTTTTCTTTAGAAAAGATTCTATTTAGGTCCGTTGCCCATTTCTTTATTGGATCATTTATCTTCCTTTTATTAAGTTGTATAAGCTGCCTGTAGATGTTGGAGATTAAATCTTTATCAGTGATAACATTTGCAAATATGTTCTCCCATACTGTGGGCTTTCTTGTTGTTTTGTTGGTTTCTTTTGCTGTGAGAAAGCTTTTTATTTTGATGTAGTCCCATTTGTTTATTTTCTCTTTAGCTTCCATTGCCCTAGGGGCAGTTTCAGTGAAGTTCTTCCGGGCATATGTCTGAGATTTTGCTGCCTGTGAATTCCTCTAGTATTTTTATGATTTCCTGTCTTCTGTTTAAGTCCTTTATCCATTTTGAATTTATTTTTGTGTATGATGTAAGTTGGTGGTCTAGTTTCATTTTTTTGCATGTATCTGTCCAATTTTCCCAACATGATTTATTGAAGAGACTATCTTGACTCCATTGTATGTTCATGCCTCCTTTGACAAATATTAATTGAGCATAGTGATTTGAGTCGATTTGTGGATTCTCTATTATATTCCATTGATGTATATGTCTGTTCTTGTGCCAGTACCAGGCTGTTTTGAGAACAGTGGCTTTGTACTATAGCATGAAATCTGGTATTGAGATCCCTCCTACTTTATTCTTCTTTATCAGGATTTCTGAGGCTATTCGGGGTCCTTTTTTATTCCAGATGAATTTTTGGAGAATTCTTTCTAGATCTGTGAAATAAACCATTGGTTTTTTAATCGGAGTGTATTGAATCTATAGATTGCTTTGGGTAGTATGGGCATTTTAATGATGTTGATTCTACCAATCCATGAATATGGTATGTTCTTCATTCTGTTAACATTTTTCTCTATCTCTCTCTTTTTTTTTTTAGTGTCCTGTAGTTTTCCGAGTATAGGTTTTTTTACTTCCTTAAGTCTATTCCTAGATATGTTCTTTTTTTGGCCTCTCTTTCTGTAAGTTCACTATTGGTGTATAGAAAGACCATACATTTCTTGGTGTTAATTTTGTATCTTGCTACATTGCCAAATTCATTTATTAAGTATATTAGTTTTTTGATGGAGTCTTTTGGGTTTTTTATGTATAATATCATGTCATCTGTAAATAAGGACATTTTTACTTCTTTCCCAATTTGGATGCCTTTTATTTCTTCTTGTCTAATTGCAATGGCTAGTACTTCCAATACTATGTCAAACAGGAGTGGTGAGAGTGGGCATCCCTGTCTTGTTCCTGTTTTTAGGGGAAATGGTTTTAGTTTTTGCCCATTGAGTATGATGTTTGCTGTGGGTTTCTCATATATAGCTTTATTTTTTAATTTTTTTAAATTTTTTTTTTATAGCTTTATTATCTTGAGGTATGGTCCTTCTATTCCCACCTTGTTGAGAGTTTTTATCAGGAAAGTGTGTTGGATTTTGTCAAATGCTTTTTCTGCATCAATTGATATGACTATGGATTTTTATCTCTCAATGTGTGTATGTGATGCATCATGTTTATTGATTTGCTGCTATTGTACCATCCTTGCATTCCTGGGATAAATCCTACTTAGTCATGATGTATGATCTTTTTGATGTATTGCTGGAGCCGATTTGCTAGAATTTTGTTGAGGATTTTGGCATCTTCGTTCATGAGGCATATTGGCCTGTAGTTTTCTCACTGTGTTGTCTTTATCTGGTTTTGGTATTAGGGTGATGCTGTCTTAATAATAGGAGCTTGGAAGTGTTCCTTCCTCTTGAATTTTTTGGAATAGTCTGAGGAGGATAGGTTTTAGTTCTTCCTTGAATGTTTGGCAAAACTCTCCTGTGAAGCCGTTTGTCCCCAGGCTTTTGTTTGCCGGAAGCTTTTTGATGGCTTCTTCAATTTCTTCCATAGTTTCTGGCCTATTGAGCTGTTTAGATTCTTCCTGATTGAGTTTTGGAAGGTTGTATTTTTCTAGGAATCTGTCCATTTCCTCCAGGTTGTCCAGTTTGTTGGAATAAGTTGTTCGAAGTATTTTGTAACAGTACTTTGTATTTTGGCGGGATCTGTTGTTATTTCATCTCTTTTATTTCTGATTTTGTTTATTTGGTCCTCTCTCTTTGCTTCTTGGTGAGCCTGGCTAGAGGTTCATCAAACTTGTTTATCCTTTCAAAGAACCAACTCTTGGTTTTGTTTATCTTCTGTATTGTTTCTTTGGTCTCTATATCCTTTATCTCTGCTCTGATCTTAATTATTTCCTTCCTTCTCCTAACTGTTCACCTGCCTGCTTGCCTGATCATCCCTAACTGCCTGCCCCTGCAGCCTGATCACTCCTAACCGCCTCTACCTGCCAGCCTGATTGCCCCTAACTGCCGACCTGGTTATCCCCACTGTCCCCTCGCCTGCCCCATCACTTCCCCCACTGGCCTGGTTGCCCCTAAATGTCCCTCTTGCCAGCCTAATCACCCCTCACTGACCCCCCTCTGCTGGTCTGGTTGCCCCTAACTGTCCCCGCCCCCCCCCCCCCCCAATTGCCTTATTGTCTGTCCTCAACTGTTCCCTCTGCCAGCCTGGTCACCCCATGCAGCCTGCTTGTTCAGTCGTTTGGCCATTCCTCACTAACCCCGCCCTCTTCCCCCACCGACATCATTGCCCCACGAAGCCTGCTATTTGGTCTTTATTGTGAGGGTGTCCTTTATTGTAATGTCCAATTTGCATATTACCCTTTTATTAGTATAGATTACATTCTTGGACTGTACGGTGATAAGACGCTGGCCATTTTCTGTGTTGAGATCAACAAATACGTTATTGTGCCATTTGTTCATTTAGAGTAGAAATCACCTTTCCTTCCTCCTCATTTCCCTTACATTAGCTGAATGGCTCCTTTGGAATAACCTGAGGTTCTTCGTAATTTCATTTTAGCTGTGGGAGTCCCCAGACCACCTTGGATACTGGACGCTGTGTGAACTGCTCCAGCACGTGGGGGGCACTGTCTTGCCATTGGAGACTTTGAACCCAGATGGTACGAAAGCTGGGGAGACCCAGCTCTCACGTGAGCCTCACCTCTCCTCGTGGGTGTCAGCACTGCCCACAGACTCCATCTTAAACTGTCTGCTCTATAATTCTCCCGAGTATGAAGCCTCATTTCCTCGGACGGAAGGAACGTTATTTCTCCCTGTTGAAGGTAAGCAAATAATGTTTTTTTTTTTTGGGGGGTGGTCTCAGTTATATACATTTCTTTAAGGCAGGCCTATGCTTTCAAATTCTCTAGGCTTTCCACAGCCCAGGCACTCAGTGATTGTAATTAAAATCAGAGCCAAATCAGAGGTGCCACAGGGAAGGGTTGCAGGCACATCCCCAGTAGGAGTTGTGCAGGAGGCAACTGATCGATGTTTCTCTCTCATCGATGTTTCTAACTCTCTATCCCTCACCCTTCCTCTCCGTAAAATATCAATAAAATATACTAAAAAAAAAAAGAACTTATGACATCCAGTCGTGCCCTTGCAATTCCGCTCATGCACAGCTTTTCCCTGGGAGCTATAGGAAGTTGGCAGCAGAATGAGGGCCGAGTGTGAACTAAGTGGCAATCCTAGTACTCAGCTGACATTCTAGCTTTTCTCTTACTATTAAATCTTTTAGTAACTGTTTGTTTCATCCCGATTTTAATGTTCTCTATTCCTAACAGGCAAAGAGACTCAAGAAGCATGGACAGTTATCCTGGAGCCCTTGGCCACGCATCAGAGACATTTTCAGAAGCCAGTCAGAATTTTCCTGAACGGCACGGCCTCCCAGTGGTCCCTCCCAGCGAGCGGCACGCTGGGCACCGACAGCTGGCTGCTCCGGAGCCCGGAGGAGAAGCAGCCAGCCCACAGGGCATTGTTCCAGCAGCTGGTCCACAGGCTGACTGCCGAAGAGTTACACCTGGTAGGTATCCCGCACGTTGGGTCATCCTTGTCTCATATAGTGGTCGGCAGCTGGTGGTCCATGGTAGTCCATGAGGTCCAAACTGTTGGCAGCCCCTGGTCTAAATCACTGGTAAAGGGGAATGAGTGTGTTTGTGAAACATCCAGGATTGTCCTCTGTAATATCTCAGTGCAACAGGTGATGCTTGTGTAAATATTAATATTGTCTATACTGTAGATGATGACAGTGCTCATCAGTGAAGAAACAGTTTATAACATTGCATGTATCTTTTTTTAAAAAAAATATTTTATTGATTTTTTACAGAGAAGAAAGGAATGAGATAGAAACATCGATGAGAGAGAAACATTGATCAGCTGCCTCCTGCACACCTCCTACCGGGGATGTGCCCGCAACCAAGGTACATGCCCCTGACCGGAATCGAACCCGGGACCTTTTAGGCTGCAGGTTGACGCTCTATCCACTGAGCCACACCGGTTAGGGCCATTGCATGTATCTTTATCCCATTAAGCCAAATTACATTCTCTCTAAGGCCTGGGAAAACCGACCTGGCCTCTCACCGGCCTGCTTTCTCCTTTACACACGTCAGCAATGTTCTCAACCAGCTGGAACTTCCTCTGTAGGTCGCCAGTGTGGACCCCGGAGACGGCTGGCCCCCCGTCACAGGAGTTATTTCCCCGCTCTCTGCCACCACTGCCGTTCTCACCGTGCTCCGCACCGAGGAGGCTGCGTTTCAGAGGCATTTTCTCCGAACAGCCATGGCCGAGAACCCCCTGGACACCACATCCCTGTGTTCCGATGTCATGGGGGTCGTGTTGAGTCCGACCCCGGGTTTACCGGAAGACCCGTCTACCTCCGGTAAGTTCACAGCCATCAGCTGACACTCCCCCTCCCCCCCAACTCTGCTCTCAGTAGAACCCCAGTATCCTATGTAATAAAACCCTCATATGCAAATTGATCGAAAGGTGGAAGGGCCGGTTGCTATGATGCATACTGACCCCCAGGGGCCAGATGCTCCCCCAGGGGGAGTGCTGCTCCGCCAGAAGCCAGGCTCACGGCTGGCAAGTACAACAGCAGTGGCGGAAGCCTCTCCCGTCTCTGCTGCAGGTAGGTAGTAAAGAGAGAGGGGTCTCAGGCTGCGAGAGGGATGTCTGGCTGCTGGCTTAGGCCTGATCCCCGGACATACCCTAAGGGCCCAGGCCGGGCTGAGGGACAGCCCCTCCCAGTGCACAGATTTTGTGCATCGGGCCTCTAGTTTGTTATAAAACAGGTCAGAGCAAACTAGTACTTTAGGTAATTTAAATGGTCATTATTGACGGAATTCTGAAGCATTCAGAGGAGGCCAAAGGCTCTGAAATCGCTTTTAAATTAGAGAATAAGATGAAACCTGGTTTTTAACGTATTTACTAAAGGCTGCACGTGAAACTGCCGTGATTCTGTCTGCCTTCCAGTTCATGGCATTGTCATTTATGCTAGGTAGATGAACATGCAATTAACTTGATATTTCTTCCATTTACTCATTTATTCAACAGATTTAGTGAGTGCCTGCTGCATGGCAGGCGCTGTCCTTCGTATTGGGAATAATACATCAGTGAACAGAGTAGACAAAGGTCTTGTTCTCACTGAGTGTACCATTCAGTTAGAATACAGGACAATAAACGAAGGGAATTATATAGGATATTTGAGAGCAATAAATGCTCTATAATAGCTGAAACCGGTTGACTCAGTGGATAGAGCATCGGCCTTTGATTCCAGTCAGGGGCATGTACCTTGGTTGTGGGCACATCCCTAGTGGGGGGTGTGCAGGAGGCAGCTGATGGATGTTTCTCTCTCATTGATGTTTCTAACTCTCTATCACTCTCTCACTCTCTATAAAAAATCAATAAAAAAAAATATGTTAAAAAATGCTCTATAACAAACGGGAAAAGGGGAATGGGGCAGTAAAGGGGCAGGAGGGGTGCGATTTTAAACGGGCCTGCTTGGAAAAGCCATATTTGCACACAGGCCTGAAGGGAGCTGCAGGGAGCGAACTCCCTGAGAGGCCCTGGGCGGGTGGGTCCGCTGTGTTTGAGGAGCAGCCCTAAGCCTGCGCTGCGCATTGTCAGCACAGCCGTTTCCATAGACACTGGCCCGGGGGAGGGGTGCAGACGGAGGAAGGTCGTCCGTGCTGCGCTTTGTATGTCCTCGGGGAGAAGGCGGTCAGCCCGTGGCAGGCACAAGAAGGGGGGTGTCCGATTTGGTCCTCATGCCTCTTTTCCTTCCCTCTCTGCTCGTCCCTGCAGCTCCTCCCTGTCCGGAGTGGGCCCAGCAGGAGCTCGGCCGCACCGCGCCCTGGAGAGCCGCTGTTGCCGAGAGCTGGTTTCCCTGCTGCAACCTCAGTGGCGCCAGTTCCAATCTGATGGAGTCATTTTGGTAAAAGTCCTTTTATTTCTCTGGGAATCGGTCACTGAAATCAGCTCTCAGTTATCTCAATATGGGTGGGTTTTTTGTTTTTTTTTTTTCTTTTCATAACATACCACATCTTATTAGTATAGTGCAATAAAATACAAAACTAATCACATAACTATGTATGGTGCCAGGCATGTACTAGACTTGTTGGGGCACCACTTTATAAATCATATAAACGTCTAATTACTATGCTGCAACTAATATAAAATAGTGTCGGTTATAATTGGGGGGGGGGGAACAATTCTGAAAAGCAAACTTAAAACCGGTAGGCTCATATTAAAAACCACTTCTACTGAAATTAAACTGAATTTCATAGTAAAAAAAATAAAAGAAAACTAATTACAAATGGAGAGTGATTAATGGGTGTATAGTTTCAGTTTTACAAGATGAGAGTTGTGGAGATGGCTGGGGTGATGGAAGCACAACATGAATATACTTAATACCTATTTATTTGCACATGAAATGATGTTGAGTACAATCAAAATCGCAAAAGGATGGTATAGTATATTTTTAATCAATTTACAACATAAAATAGCAGTTTATGCTGGTTGTAACCCATATGTTGTATTGTCTCTATAAAACACAAATCTAGGAATACCTGTGGAAGGTAAGGGTGGGAAAAGATTGGGGTTTTTCTCTGTGTCTATAATGCTAAGTTTTATTAAAAACAAAAGATCTGAAGCAGATATGGCAAACTGTTAACAAGTATTTAGTCTTGGAGGGATCTGGTGGTTATTGTCGTTTTGTCAAAGGCATTTTGGGAAATGAGAATTTCAGCTTCTTGATTTGTTCACAGGCTACTGCAGGCTGCTTCACCCAATAAGGAAGAATCTTCCAAGACTGAGAGTGAGCTCACACGCCGCCTGTCCGAGCTCTACCTGAGAAAGTCTCGTGAAGAGCCCGCCGTGTCTAACCAGGAAGACAGCAAAAAGAAACGTACGCTCGTACCAGGGAGATTTCCTGAGTATTTCTGGAGACTGGGTGTTTTAAAGGGTTAATACTCCCTAAAATGAGGTTGGAAATGCTAACTGAATAAACAAGGACAAGTTCTTCTATAATAGTTTAAATTTCAAAATAATTACATTAGTACAATTGCGATTATCAGCCACAAGCCTGGCCCGTGTGGCTCACTGGTTAGGGTGTTGGCCTGTGCACTGAAGGGTCTGAGGTTTGATTCTGGTGAGGCATGTACCTGGGTTGCAGGTTCAATCCCTGGCCCTGGCTGAGGGGTGTGTGTGTGCTGGAGGCAACCAACCAATCCTCCTCATGTTGATGTTTCTCTTTTTCTCTCTCCCTCCCTCTCCCCACCTTTCCACTCTAAAAATCCGTGGAAAAATTATACTTTAGTGAGGATTAACAAAATAATAAAAATGAGCCACAATTTTACCTTCTTGATGAATAAGCCATTTTCATTTTTCATTCTAACAAATTTAAATACAACTTTGCGTGTCGCTTACAGAATTATTCGTTCATCTGCTGCCTTGCCTTTTCAGTTACTATTCCACCTCACTGCTTAACGAAATTTACAGAATTCTTTTGTTGTTGAATATTTCGATTGATACTGTTACTGTAAATGGTACTGTAGTGTACATCATGTGTATGATTTGATTGGTTCTTTAAGTGATTTCCTTGGCATAGCTTCCAGGAAAAGTTTTTGCATCATAAAACGGGCAAAGTAGCCGAAACTGGTTTGGCTCAGTGGATGGAGCATCAGCCTGTGGACTGAAAGGTCTCGAGTTCGATTCCGGTCAAGGGCATGTACCTTGGTTGCGGGCACATCCCCAGTAGGAGGTGTACAAGAGGCAGCTGATCGATGATTCTCTCTCATTGATGTTTCTAACTCTCTATCCCTCTCCCTTCCTCTCTGTAAAAAATCAGTAAAATATATATTTTTAAAAAATGGGCAAAGTGGCTCTTAGTGCGGAATTAAAGCAGCGGGGTTTTTGTTTTTTTGGTAACTGAAGTAGTTCTTGGTCCAGGGGGGTAAAATCTCTTACTTTCCCTCCCCCGACGGCTGTAGGAGGCGTCCCTCGCACGCCAGTGCGTCAGAAAATGAAGACCATGTGCCGCTCCCTAAAGATGCTGAACGTCGCGAGGCTGAACGTCAAGGCCCAGAAGCTGCACCCCGACGGCAGCCCGGAGGCCTCGGGGGACAGGGCGGCCCAGCAGGCGGCGGGCGGGAGAGCGGCGGGCAGACTGGAGCCCAGAGGACGGACACGGAGAAGCTCCAGACCCAAAGGTACTCCTCGCTCCACAGCGTTCAGTGTCTGCGTGCAGGCGTGCCCTTTTACACCCTCGTGTTCTTATTCGTGTCCTTCGTATCCGTCAGGCAAGCACAGCCTTTACCTGCTCTGCCGTCTTTACTGCACGTCCTCAGTTTAACTTTTTTTTCTTCCCCTTACAGATTTTAAAACCGAAGAGGAGCTGCAATCGTACTTACGTGAAAATTACCAAAAGACCATGGCCACGGGAGAAACCATGTTGTACTCATGTGCTCAGAACATGATCTCAACCATCAAAGCGTTTCTCAAGTCCAAAGGCACCAAGGACTTAGAGGTAAGAGCGTCGCGATGAATGTCATCATTGCTTGTTGGCGGGTTTGGTTCACGTGTTTGTAGGCAGGGCATGACTCATACATGATGAGGGGAGCGAGGAGGGGAGTGGTGAGCACAGTTCCAGGTCTTGGAAGTTGGACATGGTGACCTAACAAGGCAGAAATGAAGGGCATGGGTTAGGCCAGTAATGCCATGTACTCTCCTCTGTCTTTTTTTTTTTTTTTTTTTTTTTTAAATATGTTTTATTGATTTTTTACAGAGAGGAAGAGAGAGTGACAGAGTTAGAAAGATGAGAGAGAATCATCTATTAGCTGCCTCTTGCACACCCCCTACAGGGGATGTGCCCGCATCCAAAGCACATGCCCTTTACCAGAATCAAACCTGGGACCTTTCAGTCCGCAGGCCGACACTCTATTAACTGAGCCAAACCGGTTTCGGCTCTCCTGTGTCCTTACTGAGTTGCGTGTGAGCCGCAGAATTAAGCCAGTGCTCCTTAGTCCTGTCTGGACTGGACAGTCTCCTGCAACGTTTTTGTTTTTGTTTTTGTTTTTTTAAATCCTCACCTGAAGACATTTTTTTATTGGTTTTTAGAGAGAGTTAGAGACCCATGGGTGTGAGAGAGACGTTAACTGGTTGCCTTCCACACACACCCTGACTGGGGAGCAAACCTGCCCTTGCCCGGGAATCGAACCCAGGATACTTTGGTGTGCGGGCCAACGCTCTAACCACAGATCAACCCTGTCTGGGGCACATGGGACATTTTTTAGTACCTGATGCCTGCCTTGCTCCAGACACAGTGAAGCAGATGTCTGCATGCTGGGACCTGGCTATCTATATACTAAACGCTTCTTAAGTGACCCTTATGCACAGGGATGCTGTTAAGTGACCGGGAGTTGTTTATTGTATGTAGACATCTCAGTTACTATTGTATGGAATCACCCTTTTAAGAGAGGTCAAGCCAAAACCAGTTTGGCTCAGTGGATAGAGCGTCGGCCTGCTGACTGAAAGGTCCCAGGTTCGATTCTGGTCAAGGGCATGTGCCTTGGTTGCGGGCACATCCCCGGTGGGGCGTGTGCAGGAGGCAGCTGATTCACGTTTCTCATCGATGTTTCTAACTCTCTATCCCTTCCTCTCTCTGTAAAAAATCAATAAAATATATTTTTAAAGAGAGAGAGAGAGAGGTCAAGCCCTGGTCAGTGTGGTTCAGTGGTCAGAGCGTTGGCCTGTGAATCTATGGGTCACGGGTTCAATTCCTAGTCAGGGGCGCATACCTGGGTTGCTTGTTTGCTCCCCATCCTTGGTTGGGCCTGGACCGGAAGCAGGTAGTCAATGTGTTTCTCTAACATTGGGGTTTCTCTTTCTCTTCATCCCTTCCTCTCTCTCTCTCTGAAAAGCAATAGAAAAAATATTGTCAGATGGGGACTAAAAAAAAAAAAAAAAAAAAAGGTTAAATCTGTAGGCTTGAAGACAGAAAACAAGAATATCCATGTCACCATTTTTTTCAGTGAAGTGAAAGAAGGGAGAGAGTGGAAGGGAATGGACTCCCCAGCTTAGGGCATTTGTCAGCTGTGAAGAAATTAAAAATGATGACAAGGAACGTCACAGTTTCCTACGTGATCCTTTTGCATTTTCAGATGAACTGCTTGCATCAAGTCAAAAATAGCCTCTTAAAAACTAGCAAAAGTCTTAGACAAGACATAGGCAAAAACCTGGATAAAGAGGACAAAGTCAGAGAGTAAGTAACCTTTTTTGTTTGTTTCTTTTAACCATTGCTCCAAAACAAACTCTTAAGACTTGCTTCTATCCACTTAGAACAGATGGCACATTGCTCAAAGAGGCTTTTGTGGCTGATTCTTTATAACCTAACTGGAGGGCCAATACCTGAGACTGGAGCAAGGGGCTTGGCCCTCGCAGCCCTGGCTTCGCCCAGGAAGGCCGTCCAGACAGTCGTTCTGCTGTTTGGTCTAATTAGCAGATTAGCTTTTTGTTATATAGGACTCGAGACCTGTGAACAGATTTGTGCACAGGTGGGATCTGTCCTTCCTGCTCTGATGGGGGCCCACCGGGGTGGGCCAGTTGGGGAGGCGATCATAGGGGGTGGGAGCCCATTGGGGATGGAGCTGATCGGGAGGAGGAGCTGTGGCCAGCTGGGGGAGGGGCCGTGGCAGTTGGCCAGCTGGCCCTGCCCCCGATTGGGGTTTTGGGGGCCAATCCTGGGCTGGGGCGGGGCGAGGGGGCTGATCAGGGTCCAGATTAGGATGGTTTGCTGGTGCAGTGTGCATCATAGCCACTGGTCGTTCTGGTCATTCCACTGTTCCAAGTACTGGGCTTTTATACACACACACACACACACACACACACACACACACACACACTAGAGGCCCAGGACATGAAATTTGTGCATGGGGGATGTCCCTCAGCCCAGCCTGCACCCTCTCCAATCTGAGACCCCAAGAGGGATGTCCGACTGCCCGTTTAGGCCCGATCCTACCGTGGACCACTGATGGTCCCTGAGGTCCGAAAGGTTGATGAGTGACCCAAGCGGAGGTCCTGGTTTCTGGGATTTATTTATCTTCTATTCTTGAAAATTTATAGCCTTGAGTGGAGCCAAGCCTTCTGCTCACTCCATGGCCACAGCCATTTTTGTTGGGATTTATTTATCTCCTTTATAGCCTTGAGAGGAGGCCTAGGCCCTCCAGGGCGTGCGGAAAGCTTGGCTTCCTCCATTACGGGGGGAAACCCAGGCCTCCTGCTCACTCCGTGGCTGCAGCCATCTTGGCTGGGTTAATCAGCATGCTCCTGATTGATTGGCGGGCATGGCTGGTGGGTGTAGTAGAGTGGTGGTTAATTTGCATATTACTCTTATTAGATAGGATAGATATATCTGCAGCTTGAGTCACCTGTTCACCTGATAACCCATGTCGGCAGAGCAGTGGTTGTCAACCTTTTGACCTCACGGACCATCACTGGTCCGCAGACCACTGGTTGGCCACCGCCGCTTTAGAGAAAGCCTCGGTTCCCCGTTTTATGAATCAGTAGATCTATGACTGAGGAAGGGGCCTTGAGTTTTGTGACCTTCAGAGTCGCTATTATAACCTTAGTATTTCTCTCTCTCAAGGTGCCAGCTGCAGGTGTTTCTCCGTTTGGAGATGTGTGTGCAGTGCCCGCTGATAACGGACAGAACGGAGGACGTGGAGCAGCTGGTGGAGGAGGTAAGTGCCCCGCCCGGGCCGCTGGGAACGTGCTAGAAGCTCTCGGCGTCCCGCAGCGGCGTCAGTCACCTCGGCATCTCCTTCAGGTGGCGGATCTGCTGCGCGTGGTGTGTCTGACCGAGGACTCGGCCTACCTGGCGACGTTTCTGGAAGAAATCCTGCAATTGTAAGCTTGAGGGCTGCTGCCCTAACTGGAACACTCTCACCAAAGATTGCGCATGGCGTGGCTTCAGAAGCCTGGAACTGGGGCGGCCGTTTCTCACGCTGGGCGAGGAGGGGGCGGAGGGGCCCCCGCGACGGCTGTGCCACATTTAGCCGACCCGCCCGCAGGTACCTCGGCTCCGTCCCGAAGGCGCTGGGGCAGCTGTACGACAGCCTGGGCTTCGTGGTTCCCCCGAAGCTGGCGGAGGTCCTGCCGACAGACTTCTTCAGCGATGACTCCGTGGCCCCGGGGAGCGGGTCGCCGCGGTCCTCCGTGCCGCCCGTGGCCGGCGGCGACAGGTCGGCGCCGGGCGGCTCGGACTCCGACCGGCTGGAGGAGCTGCGGACCCGATCGGCCAAGAAGAGAAGGTAGGGGGGCGCTGGGAACCGAAGGCGCTCCTTGCGTGCTCCCGTTGGGTGGGGAGCGAGCCCACACCCACTTACGTGCCCTTGATCGGGAATTGAACCCGGGACCCTTCAGTCCACGGGCCGACGCTCTGATCACTGAACAAAACTGGTAGGGCCAGAGGGTGTTTAAACCATAGTCCAATAGTGTGTGTTTGTAACTCATTGACTTCCTGTGCCCTCCTGTCTGAACCACAGAAGCCAGTCACTGAGTTTCTTTTCTTCTTTTTTTTTTTTTTAAAATATATATTTCATTGATTTTTTACAGAGAGGAAGGGAGATAGAATTAGAAACACACCCTTGACCGGAATCAAACCCGGGACCTTTCAGTCCGCAGGCCGATGCTCTATCCACTGAGCCAAACGGGTTTTGGCCAGTCACTGAGTTTCTGCTCTGTGTTCCTGGGCGTTCGAAAGAGTGTCGGGGGCACGTGACACTGTCTCCAGGGAACACACATATTTGCCAGAGTCCAGAGCCCTTGGCTGTCCATGGGTGTCGGGGAACTAGGAGTCTCGTAGGAGACGGGTTTAGGGTTTCAGCTTGCTTTTTAAGTTTTCCTGTGATGCTTTCCATTGTTTATGACTGGTTGTTTATAGTACTTACTTTTGGAAAATTTTGGATTGACTTGTTTTGCTTTAAATTCAGTCCAGTACTAAGGTTACTGACCTGTACCTAAAGAATGCTTTAGTCCTCGCCGGTGTGGCTCAGTGGATAGAGCGGCGGCCTGCGGACTGAAGGGTCCCGGATTCGATTCCAGTCAGGGCACAGGCCCGGGTTTCGGGCTCTATCCCTAGTGGGGGGCATGCAGGAGGCTGCCGATCAATGATTCTCATCATTGATGTTTTTAACTCTTTCTGAACTCAATAAAAACATATTTTTAAAAAGAGAACGTTTTATTTCGCACTGTAGTTTGTTTCAGTCTGATTTAACTGCACGTAACCGCTATTGAGTGTGCATTGACTGTTGCTTTCTCCTCCCAAAGGAAAAAGGCGTTAATAAGACACAAAAGCATTGCGGAGGGCTCACAGAACGTTCGGCAGATTGAAATCCCCAAGGTGTCCCAGAGCAGAGTGTCCCAGAGACCCGCGAGAAACGTGAGTTGTTTCCCCGAGACGGGAAATGGCGCCGGAGAGCTAGTCCTTCTGCACCAGCCGTGTGGAGGGCGGCGTCTTGGCGGGGAGTGGGGATGGAGTTCACAGAAGTCAAATCATACTCTCAACTAAGCCAAGCTGGTTTCGGCTATTGCCCTCTTTGTGGATAGTTAGGGAGCCTCTTATTTTGTATTATTATTATTGCAGCCTTCAGTGTCCTTCGGTCATGTATCTATTTTTGTGCATTTTGCAACCATTTCTGTTACGGATTCCGTAAGGAGAACTGTCAGGGTCAAAGCGTTCCAGGTGGGATTTTATTCTTTTATTTTAAATGCCTGTCTGTTTTCTTACTGGGTCTTCTCGCCTTTCAGGAGAACCCTCGCCCCACTCTCCCGCAGCCCTCACTCCCAGTGAAAGATCCGGTACAAGGTATGCTTTGTTCTCAGCACCTGTTCATGGGCTAGAACTACACGTTTATTCGCTTGCATGTATTTAAGCAGCTGCCTAGTTATGGGCAGTTGTTGGTTAATGAAATATGTCCAGATAACACGTACTAGGAGAATAAGGTGTTCAGGTGATCTCAAAATGCTGCATTCTGCAAAATAACTTGCCTGAAATCTCTTTTTTTTTTTGGTGGAGCATTTCTTTAAAAAAAATTTTTTTTTATTGATTTCAGAGAGGAAGGAAGAGGGAGAAAGAGATAGAAACATCCATGATGAGAGAGAATCATGGATTGCCTGCCCCCCCAGCAAGTCCCTCACTGGGGACTGAGTCCACAACCTGGGCATCCAACCCTTCAGTTCGCAGATTGACCCTCTATCCACTGAGCCAAACCAACTAGGACAAACATTTCTTTAAAAACAAAACAAAACAAAACAAAACAAAACACTATTTTTATTGATTTCAGAGAGGAAGGGAGAGAGAAAGATAGAAACATCAGTGATGAGAGAGAATTATGGATCAGCTGCCTCCTGCATGTCCCATAATGGAGATCAGGCCCACCACCTGGGAATTGAACCAACCGTGACTTCCTGGTTCATAGGCTAGATAATGTGCCCTCGTACCCAGGAGACATGCGCTGAAGTAGAGGGACTGAGGAGTCTCATGTCTGCCCTTCCTCTGCAGTGTGGGGGTGGGAAATTGTATAAATCGGGGAGGGCACGAATGATGACAGTGTGTGAATTTTAGTGACGACTGACTGTTTATTGTGTTTCTAGAGGCCCAGTGCATAAACTCATGCACCAGCCAGATCAGGCTGAAACTGGCTTTTCAACCCAAGGGGTCCTGGATTGTGAGAGGGCACAGACCAGGCCAAGGGACCAGTGCATGATGGGGCTGGGGAAGGATGTGGGAAGTTGGCCAGCTGGGGAGGGACCTTGGAAGGGCTCCAGAGTGTGTCCGACCCATCTCACTCGGTCCCCATTGGCCCTACCCCAGCAAGCAAGCTCACCTACTAGTCAGAGCATCTTTCCCCCTGGTGGTCAGTGCACGTCATAGCACATATGCTTTGATTGGTTAAGCGGATGACTGGACACTTCGCATATTAGGCTTTTATTATTTAGGATTCTTTGAAGCTTTCTGTAAATATTAAACTTTTCAGAAACCTGGAAGAAACAGAAAGAAGCAATCCAGGTTAGCTGTCGGTTTGTAGACAACCTCAGGCAGCGTGGAGATGGAGGAACTTTTTCTTTTTTTAAAAAAATATATATTTTATTGATTTTTTACAGAGAGGAAGAGAGAGGGATAGAGTTAGAAACATCGATGAGAGAGAATCATCGATCAGCTGCCTCTTGCACACCCCGTACTGGGGATGTGCCCGCAACCAAGGTACATGCCCTTGACCGGAATTGAACTTGGGACCTTTCAGTCTGCAGGCCGACGCTCTATCCACTGAGCCACACCGGTGTCGGTGAGGAGCTCTTTTCAAACTTCACTATGTGATTGGGGTCCTTGCATTAATGTGTGTGTCCCTGATGGGAAGACTTAGGGGTCCTCCCAGTGTGTGGACCTCCTTCCTTTGGTTTTCTTTCAATGACTCAGAAAAATTTATCGCAGTGAATTAGCGCCCAGCCTCCATGAGGCCACCCTAAGATTCAGAACCTGTTTTCCTCACTTTTGCCAAGTGTTTCTCCACTCTTCAGCTTCCCCCAACTAGTTTTGAGTCTAGATGGTCACAGCTTCCATACTGTTGAGTGAGAAAGGGCATTTAAAACAACCCAGAAAATTAGTAAAATGTTCCCGAGAAGAACAGTTTCTCTCCCCTGGAGGCGGAGCTGAGTACAAAGCAGCAGAAAAGTGAGGACAGTCACTCTGGCTCTGGGATGTTCGGGAAGGCCCATCCTCTCACTGAAGGCTATGTCCGTTCCTCAGCGAGCAGAGCGTCCAGGTTAGGAGTGTGGGCTTTCCGTGTGCTCCTGAAAGGTGGAGTCTACATTGAATGTATAAAAGGAAATGATTTTAGCCCTGGCCCGTGTGGCTCAGTTGATTGGGCTTCGTCTGCGCACCAAAAGGTTGCCAGTTCGATTCCGGGTCAGCACGCATGCCCAGGTTTCTGCCTCAGTCCCCAGTAGGAGGCGTGCAGGAGGCCGCTGATCAGTGTTTCACTGTCACATTGATTCTCCCTTTCCCTTCCTCTCTCTAAAAATCAACTTAAAATAACTCTAATGTACCATGTGAGTATAGTAGTTTAGAAAATCCTCCCAGCCCTAACCGGTGTGGCTCAGTGGATAGAGTGTCAGCCTTCGGGCTAAAGGGTCCCAGGTTCGATTCCAGCCAAGGGCATGTACCTTGGTTGTGGGCACATCTCCAGTGGGGGGTGTGCAGGAGGCAGCTGATCGATGTTTCTAACTCTATCCCTCTCCCTTCCTCTCTGTAAAACATCAATTAAATAGGTTTTTTTAAAAAGAAAGAAAACCCTCCCTGTGTCTTTTTAGTAGTTAATCTATAGAATAGCTTCCTTAAGCGGCTTCGCTCTGTTTTGGATAACTTTCTTTTCCCACATATGGCTTATGTAAGTGATAATATTTGTCCTTTTTTTAATGTTTTCAGAAGTGACCAAAGTTCGAAGGAATCTCTTCACCCAGGAAATTTCTCCTTCCAAGAGGCCGGCGAAGCGGGGGCTGCCGCGAAGCCACTCGGTGTCGGCCGTGGAGGGCCTGCGGCACAAGCTGGACAGCGCCAGCGGGACCAGAGGTACCTTCCCGGTGACCCGGACTCGCTTTCCGGCAGGAGCCCCTGCACTTCCTGTTTTCCTCTTCTCTGCGGCCGCCTCCAGCTACTCTCCCCTTGGGGTCTCTCCGGAATCAAACCTGGGACCTTTTAGTCCGCAGGCTGATGTTCTATCCACTGAGCCACACCGGTTTTGGCTCCTGTGTTCTTTATTTCTTCAGCTTCCAGTCACTGTCTAGTGTCATTTCAACCTGAAGCACTGCTCCCATAGTTACAGGTCCTATCCCCTCCTGTTTCTGTTGTCATACAAGTTACATCTTTATACATTGTATGTCTTTCAACACAAATTATAACTGATACTTTATATTTTAACTCAAGGGAGAAAAACAGTTACAAAAAGTAGTTTTATACTGTCTTCTGTATTTTATATACGCAGTTACCTTTCCCAGTGCTCTGACTCCTGTGGATTCGAGTGACTCTCTAGCACCTTTCCTTTCGGCCTGAGGACTCCCCTTGGGGGACTCCTCAGGGGGCAGCTTTGCTAGTGGCAGTTTCTATGGGGGGCTTGTTTTTATAATTGGGGAATGTGCTCATCTCTCCTTTGGTTTTGAATTAATAATTTGGCTGGGTCCAGAATTGTTGATTGAATCTTTCTTCTTTTGTGACACTGCCTAATGTGAAACCAGCTGTAGATCTTACCCAGAATCCCTTGTATCTGATAAGTCACTGCATGTCAACATTGTCCTATACTTTATTTTACTTGTAGACACAAGAGCCACCGACTAGGTGCCCAGATGTGTTAGCTCTGTGTCATCAGTGAGCAGCTCATTCCCTAGGGCTGCTTATTAGAGGAACATCTCATATCTTACTTCGCCGGATGTGCTCTGTAGCCTCTGACAGTGGTGATAAAGGGCTAAATGGAGCCCAGGGTTAGGCTGAGGTCCACTGCGGCCGGGGAGCTGGCCATGTCTAAGGGACCTCGTGCTGCTCGCCTTGCAGGGCACCACCGGCTGCTGACCAGGACCGTGGCCGAGACCCCAGAGCACAAGCAGGTGTCCGGGCGGCTGCTGCACAGGCAGATCCAGGGCAGGTGAGTGACACTGTGCGTCCGCCCCCCCCCCATCTCCCCTAAGCCCACACCCCCCTCCGCCCACACCTCCCCAGACGGCTCTCCCAGCTCCGAGAGCTTCGTGACTCAGATGCCAGTTGTCTCTTAGCCAGAGAGCATCTGTCAGCTCCGAGGGCCGAGAACCTTCGAGGGGCTCTGTCAGGCCTCGCACACCCGGCCAGTGGTGTTGAGATATACCCGTGCTGTTCACGTGTCTGCTCATCCCTGTTACTGAGCAGTGACATGTAGTTAAATGGATATTCCACAATTTGTTTTTATTGATTCAGAGAGGGAGGGGGAGAGGGAGAGAGATGGAAAAAGCAGTGATGGGAGAGAATCATTGGCCAGCTGCCTCCTGTACCGGGTTCGATTCCCGGTCAAGGAACAGGCCTGGGTCATGGGCTCGATCCCCAGTAGGGGGCGTGCAGGAGGCAGCTGATCAATGATTCTTTCTCATCATTGATGTTTCTATCCCTCTTACTTCCTCTGTGAAGTCAATAAAAAATATATATATATTTTAAAAATGTTTTAAGCCCTGACTGGTTTGGCTGAGTGGATAGAGCCTGCGTACTGAAGGGTCCCAGGTTCTATTCTAGTCAAGGTTTCTCTCTTTCCCTCCCTCTCTGAAATCAATAGAAATACACTTTTTTAAAATGTTTTAACTGATAGTGTGAGAGGTGTTCTCAAACTTGCAGGCTGAGAGGCTGTATCTGTATGGTGTTCATTATGAATTAACTAGTGGCTGATGCTTGTGCTCTTGGTTCCTCAGGTCCTCTGACCCCGGTCCTGAGGTGGATGTTGTGGAGGAGTCCCCAGAGAAAGGTACGCGCTCCCCTTCTTCTGGATTCTTGCTGCTTTCTGTGGCCGCCTCATGCCCCGTCCGCTCTGCCTGTCGCCCTGAGACGGAGGGGAAGGTCAGGCCCGTGAAACCATATGGTTTGGCCCTGCCAAGGCACTAGGGGTGAAGGTGACAATTCTTTATGCTCCCCAAATGACATTATAAATACCCAAATGGCCCTGGGCAGAAAACGGTTCCCACTCCTCGTCTAAGCTGTTCACAGGTGACAGTGCTGCACACCAGCAATCTTGAGTGGCCTTTTTAAAAATCAAGGAATATGATTTTTTGTAGAAAAACTAGGGGGCAGGGGAGCCAAAATTTTGCTAATCACTTGGTAATCCCATAACTCTGAAATACTGTTAACAGTTTAGCTTTAATATTATTCTTACGGGTGTTACTTATATACAAATATATGTTTAGCTTTAATATTATTCTTACGGGTGTTACTTATATACAAATATATGTAATATACGCATAAACTACAATTTTTAAATTTAATCATTTTTATAAGCATGACTGTACTTGATACATATTTCCATCGTGCTTCACGGTGGCCGTTCAGGACACTGAAGTGACAGGCTCGTGGGCCGCCTTCCTTCCACCTCCTGGGGCCACACACCTCCCATCTTTGCTGTGACAGTGAAGTCTCCACCAATGGCTTGTCACGCTCCTGTTTGGTAAAACATGGATGTTGCTCACGTGTACATGACAGTCAGGCTGGTGTCTCCCTGCTGACTGTGACTCTGCTTTTGCAGAAGTGAGCCTGAGAAGAAGCCCGCGCATCAAGCAGCTGTCCCTCGGCCGGACCAGGTCCGGTCCCTTCTACTCCGTGTCGCAGTCGCAGCCGCGCAGCGTGCAGAGAGCTCACTCCTCCCTGCAGGGCCCGTCAGGTAACTCGGTGGGAAGTGTTTTAGGAAAAGCATGAGGTTTGGCCTCGTTTCTGGACACGGAGTAGAGCAGGTGAGGGGTTTGAGGTTCGGGTGATGAACAGTCAGGGTCTTTATGATCCGCATCATCCCCAGGGGGGCCTGACAGCTGCCCCCCCCATTCAGAGGGTGGCCTGTGACTCCCACCTGCGCTCACGTCCTGCACCTGTCCCGGAGGCAGGCAGGGTCTGTATCTCCTCTGCTGTTACAGCTACAAATGAAAATGCTTTGGTTGGTCATATTTCCTAGCAGAGGCATGGGGTAACTGCCGTCTTAGAACTCAGGACGGCAGCATGATCGCGGTCGTTGCTGACACCACCCCCCGCCCCCTTCGCTCTGAACGGACCGGCTGTTTGGTGCTGGAGGGGATGAAGCTGTCCCTGTTGTTGACTTGCAGACCCAGGATCGCCTCCCATCCCGAGCATCCGGTCTCCGAAGACGCTGCTTTTCGGGGCCGTGTCCGAGGTGGTCAGGCCCTCGGAGGAGGGTGCGGCTCGACGGAAAGGGTCTTCAGGAGACACAGTGGCCTCCGAGATGCCGGCAGCTCACCAGGTAGGACATGTCCGTCACACTTATTGAGAACACACACACACACACACACACACGGCCAGGGAAGCAGCGCCGGAACCGGAGGCTCACAGGTGCTGTCTGAGTCGTCGTTCTTAGGAGACAAGGTGGCCTCTGAGATGGACAGCTCACCAGGTAAGTCATGTCGGTCACACTTGGAGAACACGCACACGGCCAGGGAAGCAGCGCCGTAACCGGGAGGGAGGCTCACGGTGCTGAGTCGTCGCTCTTGGTGACCAGCTGAGATGAACATTCCAACAGGCAGCGTTAGGTTGGCAGAACGTTGGTCCCGCCTTTAAAACTTTTATGGACAATGGAGATTGTCCACGTTCCACTGACCAGCATTTAGTCCTGAGAATAAGTCAGGTCAGGGAAGAGGTCAGCCTCACTGCCTCCCACCGGGAGGCCTGTGTAAGCAGCAGCCATGTGTCTGGAAAAACAAAGGGAACCTTAACAATCACACAAGATCAATAAGGGACAGTGTGTAGGAGAAAATAAGACAGCTTACACAGAGAGAGATACTGAGGGTCAGAGATAGAAGTGACAGGAATGAAATCGGGGAGACAGAAAAGAAAATAGAAAGATCAAAGAGAGAAAACAATGGAGAGACCGAAAAGAAGGGATGAAGGAGGTCAGAATAACAATTCAAAGAGAAGATTGGGAAATGAAAGGCAGAAGGTAGATTTTAGAGAGGAGAGATTGAGATGAGAGAATTGGTGAGAAAGCAGATAGAGTTCAGAGATCAGATAGAGGAGAGAGAAATGAAAGGCAGTGATAGATCTCAGAGATGGAAATCAGGGTCCAGCGACAAATAATTAGAAAAGAACATAGAAGAGAGTGAGGTCAACGAAGAACGAGTTCAGAGAGTGGAGTCCGGAGGAAAAAGTGGCAAGAATGACATCAGACAGAAGATTGGGAGATCAGAGGAAAATGAGAGAGAGAAAATGAGTTCTGAGGAGGAGGAAGGGGAGAGGAAGGACAGTGAGGGCAGAGGGGGAGTAACAAGAGATCAGAGAAGAGGGTGAGCTCCCTCAGGAAGTGAGAGTTGGAGACCACAGTGTGGGGAGAAAAGAGGGAGATGGGGGAGCAGAGAGAGCAGAGGGAAAGATGCAGACCAGAGAGAAGGGGGAGCAGACAGGAGGAGGAAAGGGGAGGAAGAAATAGAAGACGGTGAGATCAGGGAGAGGCAGATCTGGGGGGAGAAGAGGTGAGAAGAGAAGGTGAAGGAGAGAAGAGTGGGAGCACAGAGAAGGAGGGCAATGAGAGAAGCGGGTGAAGAGAGAAGCAGACTCAGGGCAATCGGAGAGGAGAGACTGAGGGAAGAATGCACAGGCTGAGCGCGCAGAGTGAGAAAGGAGCGATCAGACAGAAAGCTGAGCGGAGAGCAGGGCAGTGAGAAGACACGGCAGGAAGAGCGGGAAGGTACAGAGACGGGAGCTCAGAGAGGGGAGGGGGTGGGAGCAGAGAGGAGGGAGATGAGGATGGAGGGCACTGGGAGAAGGGGTTTCGAAGGCAGATGGAAGGACGTGGCGGGAGAAGAGTGAGTTCAGGGGGAGGTGAACGGAGGAAAGACGCTAGAGAAGGCGGGGAGAAGGGAGAGAACAGGGGAGAGCTGAAGGAGAAATGAAAGGCCGGAGATCGACATGAGAAAACAACAGAGGAAAGCAGAACCGAGAGAAATAGACGGAGGAGAGAGTTCTAAAGAGGGTGAGGAGAGAGGAAGAGGAGGCCCCGCAGAGAGAAGACAGGAGCAGTGTGAGGGGTAAGAGTGAATTCATGGAGGGAGAGAGGAGAGTGAAACCAGAGGAACGAGATGAGATGAAGGTGGGAGAGGGAAGGGAGATGTGAGGAGCGGGGAGCTGAGACAGAACAGAGGCCCCTCACCTGCTGCCAGTGGGTCTCCTAGTCTCAGCAGCGAAGATGGCAGGTTTGGGGGTGACACGTGCTGGTCACCATTTTCATTTCAGACGAGGCTGAGGCCCCACATTAGAACATTGTCTTGCTTACCTGTGTTTTGTCTCTAACATCCCACTCTTTCTGCCCAAGAGGTTCAACCGTTTTTTTATTTTTATTTTTATTCATATTTTTACACCCACAGTTCCCTGCCACCCCCAAACCCTTTTTTTAGAATATGTTTATTGATTTCAGAGAGGAAGGGTGAGGGAGGGAGAGATAGAAACATCAGTGATGAGAGAAAATCTTCCCTCGGCTGCCTCCTGAACAACCCAGGCCTGTGCCCTGACCGGGAACCCAACACTGACCTCCTGGTTCACAGGCCTGTGCTCAGCCAGTGAGCCACACAGCTGGGCCCCTCCCCCCGCTGACACACTTGGACGTCCCCCTGCCCCGGCCTCCACTGGTCTAACGGCGAGCTGTCCTCCAGCCCCGTCGCCCATGCACGCCCCCCACGTTGCATCAGCCACACGCGCGGTCCGTCCACCCCCAGAGCCCTGACACCTCAGGCTGTAGCCGTGGGCGGCGTGTGGGCCCCTGACCTGCAGGTCTTGGCAGGCGGGAGGGTCATTTCAGGAGAAGATGGGAAATTAGAGTGAGGAATGAAAGGCAGAAGATAGATTTGAGAGAGGAGAGAGGAGAGATTGAGATGATGCGAGAATTGATGAAAGCAGACAGTGGGGTAAGAGGGAGGGAGGGGAGAGAAATGAAAGGCAGTGATAGATCTCAGAGATGGGAATCAGGGTCCAGGGACAAAAAATTAGAGCATAGGAGAGAGTGAGGTCAAAGAAGAACGAGTTCAGAGAGAGGAGTCAGGAGGAGAAAGTGGCAAGAACGCAATCACACAGAAGTATGGGAGCTCAGAGCACAGAGCCGGATCACAGGAGACGGGGAGCAAAGCAAAGTGAGACCAGAGAGAAATGAGAGAAAATGAGTTCTGAGGAGGAGGAAGGGGAGAGGAAGGACAGTGAGGGCAGAGGAGGAGTAACAAGAGATCAGAGAAGAGGGTGAGCTCCCTCAGGAAGTGAGAGTTGGAGACCGCAGTGTGGGGAGAAAAGAGGGAGATGGGGGAGCAGAGGGAAAGATGCAGACCAGAGAGAAGGGGGAGCAGACAGGAGGAGGAAAGGGGAGGAAGAAATAGAAGACGGTGAGATCAGGGAGAGGCAGATCTGGGGGGAGAAGAGGTGAAGGAGAGAAGAGTGGGAGCACAGAGGAGGGCAATGAGAGAAGCGGGTGAAGAGAGAAGCAGACTCAGGGAAATCGGAGAGGAGAGACTGAGGGAAGAGTGCACAGGCTGAGAGCGCAGAGAAAGGAGCGATCAGACAGAGAGCTGAGCGGAGAGCAGGGCAGTGAGAAGACACGGCAGGAAGAGCGGGAAGGTACAGAGACGGGAGCTCAGAGAGGGGAGGGACCTGAGCGAGAAGCGGGGAGCAGAGAGGAGGGAGATGAGGATGGAGGGCACTGGGAGAAGGGGTTTCGAAGGGAGAAGAGTGAGTTCAGGGGGAGGTGAACAGAGAGGGAAGGTCGTTAGAGAAGGCGGGGAGATGGGAGAGAACAGGGGAGAGCTGGAAGGAGAAATGAAAGGCCAAAGATTGATATGAGAAAACAACAGAAGAAAGCAGGACGGAGAGAAGTAGACGGAGGAGGAGAGAGTTCTAAAGGGGGTGAGGGGAGAGGAAGAGGAGGCCCCGCAGAGAGAAGACAGGAGCAGTGTGAGGGGTAAGAGTGAAATCATGGAGGGAGAGGGGAGAGTGCAATCAGGGACGAGATGGGGAGGAGACATCTGAAATGATAGAGGCGAGCAGGAGAGGGTGGGAGAGAGGAGGGGAGATGTGAGGAGCGGGGAGCTGAGACAGAAGAGGCCCCTCACCTGCTGCCAGTGGGTCTCCTCGTCTCCGCAGCGAAGATGGCAGGTTTGGGGGTGACACGTGCTGGTCACCATTTTTGTTTCAAACGGGCCAAGACCCCACATTAGAACATTGTCTTACTTACCTGTTTTGTCTCTGAACTTCTTGGGCAGAAAGAGCTGTATGTTAAAGGTGTTTTTTACCTTTACTCATATTTTTTATACCCACAGTTCCCTGCGACCCCCAAATCCTGTTTTTAGAATGTGTTTACTGATTTCAGAGAGGAAGGGTGAGGGAGGGAGAGAGAGAAACATCAGTGATGAGAGAAAACCTTCCATCGGCTGCCTCCTGAACAACCCAGGCCTGTGCCCTGACCGGGAACCCAACACTGACCTCCTGGTTCACAGGCCTGTGCTCAGCCAGTGAGCCACACAGCTGGGCCCCTCCCCCCGCTGACACACTTGGACGTCCCCCTGCCCCGGCCTCCACTGGTCTAACGGCGAGCTGTCCTCCAGCCCCGTCGCCCATGCACGCCCCCCACGTTGCATCAGCCACACGCGGGGTCCGTCCACCCCAGTGACACGGACACCTCGTCAGGCTGCGGCGTGGGCGGCGTGTGGGCCCCTGACCTGCAGGTCTGCAGCGTCTTGGCAGGCGGGAGGGCCGTTTCAGGAGAAGATGGGGAATTAGAGTGAGGAATGAAAGGCAGAGATAGACTGGCCGTGGACACGCGTCATTACTAAGATCCCCCCTCTCCTTTCTCATCGCCCTAGAGCCGTGGTCGGCAAACTGCGGCTGGATAGCCATGTGCGGCTCTTGGCCCCTTGAGGGCGGCTCTTCCACAGAATGCCACGGCCTGGGCGAGTCTGTTGGAGACGTGGCGTGAGGAGAAGTTGAAGTTTAAACCATGGGGCTCTCCAAAGAAACGTCAATGTTTGGCCGCTGGCTAACGAGTCTGCCCACCCGGCCTAGCGGTTCGGGGCCTCCGTTCCCGGAGAGAGTGGGTCACCGTGTTCAGCCGCTAAACCGCGTTTCCTCCTCAGACTCCGAGGAAGAGCTCCCGGGAACGCCCCAGCTCTCCGAAAGCGACGCCCCGCAGGCCCCCCCGGGCCCCCCGCACGCCCGCCCCGCAGCCCTCCGCGCCCCACCGCTCACCGTCTCCGCCCGCAGCCTCGCCCGAAGGCGGCCAGCCCCCGGGGTCGCCGCAGAGCCCCTGGCTGCCCGCAGTGGCCTCCAGTCCAGAAAGCACCCCGCGTCACGCAGCCTGGGGGGCGGCCGCACCTCCGCCACAGACACCGCAGCACCCCCGCCGCCCCGGAGCCTCTGGGGGCGAGGAGCCAGCACGGAGAGGGAGAGGGAGAGCTCTCAGGACCCCGACAGGACCCGGGGCCACAGCCGAGCCAGCTTCCCCGCCTGCGTCTCCGCTCGCCTCCCCTGTGACTGACACTCCCGAGAGCGCCCCCTGGGCAGCCCGGGCCGAGTCCCCTCACCCTGGACAACCGGACGGGAGGGAGCCCCCCAGCACCTCAGGGCGAGCCGAGCCGGACTCCAGCCCCAGCCCCCGCCCTCCTGAAGGGGGGACGAGGCTGGGAAGCACCTCCAGTCCCCAGAAGGGCTCCCTGGAGGGCGCCCCCGGGCTGGGCTGCGGGAGCGGCTGGCACATGCCCTCCCCGGTGCTCCCTGCAAGGGGCACGGAGCCCCGCCCTGTCCCGGGCGAAGCCGCGGCCGGGAGCAGCCACGTCGCTCCCGTGGGAGCCGGCGAGGGGCTAAGGCCCGTGGCTGCTGGGGAGCAGCCCTCTGGCCCCGGGACTCCTCCCTCCGCGCCCGGCTCTCCGCAGACACCGCCCGGCCCTCCGCTCTGTGCGGCCCCCGGAGGGCGGTGCCTGCCAGCGGCCGCCCCGCTGTCAGAGGCCCCTGCCCAGCCCCAGGCCTACGAGGCGGAGCTGGACGGGCAGGCGGGGGGGCCGCCCAAGCTTCAAGTCAAGAAGGTGGACGCCAGCCCGGGGTGCGAAGCCGAGCCGCTGAGGAGGGACCCGAGCGTGGCCCCCGGCCCGGGCGGGCCCAGGGGCAGCAAGTCCTCAAAACCCGACACCTACACATCGCCCCCCTGCCTGCGCCCCGCGCACGGCAGCCCCAGCAAGAGCGGCGGACAGACCTACATCTGCCAGTCCTGCACCCCCACCCGCTGCCCCTCGAGCACCCCCAGTCCGTTCCAGGCCGAGGCTGGGGCTCCCTGGACACCGTCTCCCAAGCACAGCGGGAAGACCACCCCGGACACCATCAAGGACTGGCCGCGGAGGAAGCGGGCGGTGGACGGCAGCCTGGGCGGCCCTGTGGGCAGGGACGCGGGCACAGACCTTGGTGCGGGCGGGTCGCCGCTGCGGCCGGCAGGCGCGGAGTTGGACCTGGACCTCGGCCTCCACAAGACGCGCGTCCTGGGGGACTTGGAGCTCGAGGGGGTGTGTCGGCTGCCAGACCAGTCCCCCCCGGGAGCCGGGGACGGGGTGCCCGGGTCCGAGGAGGCCCCCTCCTGGAGGCCGTCCGGGTGGGGCTCCCGGAAGAGGCTGCTGCCCCCCGAGGACACGGAGTGTGAAGCCAAGAGGGCCTGTGAGCCGCGGGGAGAGGCCCCGGAGGCCGGGGGCGAAGCCAGAGCTCCAGGCGACGCCGAGCCGTGGGTTCTGGGTGAGTGTGACCCCGGGATGGGGGGCGGCCTGGCTGGGCGGCCAGGGCCACGCTGACCGCCTCCCCCCTGCAGGCTCCACGCCCCCTTCTGGCCGCGCCGTGCACAGCGGCCTCTCTGCCCGCGGCCTCCAGGCCCTGACCCAGTCCCCGCTGCTGCTCCCCGGGAGGATGCCCGCGCAGGGCACCGCCGCCCCGGGTAAGTCCTGGGCCACTCCCCACGTCCCCGGGCTCCGGGCCGGGGCCGTTTTGAGGGGGTGAAGGGGCAGTGATGTGCGGGTGCCACCCAGGGAACCCCTGTCCTACCAGGCCTTGGGGTCCTGAAGGCGGCGGCAGGCGTGTGCACAGCGCCGTCCCTGGAGGCTGAGCCGTGTCGTCTGCGTGTCCCGTGGCGGACGGCCCGCAGCCTCGGCAGAGCCCTGGCCAAGCCTGTGTCGCACGGTGGTGGTCAGGGAGCAGGAGGCCGTCCGTGGTCCCTCCCTCAAGGCCACGGCAGAGCCTCCCGCACCCCGCAGATCTGAGACGGCCGCACAGGGCGACGCGCCCTCTGCTGCGCCCTCAGCTGCTCTCCTGGCTCTAGGCGAGGACTTGGATGTGTTTCCCGCCGAGGAGGACTCTCCCTTCAGCCGAGCCTTTTCCAGGACGCGCCCCGTCAGCAGGACGTACTCCCGGAAGAAGCTGATCAGCTAAAGGGGGGCCCGGCGGCCCCTAACCAGACACTACAGAGCCGGCCCACCCCGTCCCCGCACCGCCGGCTGCTCCGGGGGCAAGTCCCGCAGGTGCCGCCGCCACCAGGCCGGCTGTCCCCGAGGCTGCCTGGGCCCTGGACCATCAGGAGCCCTTCCAGCCCCCACCCCCCGCAACCGGCCTCCCCTCTGAGGGGCGGGCTTCCCTTCCCCGACAATAAAGTTACCTCTGTTCCGGCGTGCCTGGCGTGGTGCCCTCGCCGCCTCCCTGACTGCCTGCTCCTCGTGGGGAACCACAGCGCCGTCCGGGCTGCGAGGAGTCCGTGTCCCGTGTCCCATGTCTGACTCGTTCTGAGCTGCTGTGTCCCTGCTCCCTACGCTGTCCCTGTTTTCCCAACACTCCGAGGGAAACCCCGTTTCTCAAGTTACTCGTTTATTATAAAATGGTTTTACAAAATCCTACAAAACCTTCCCCAGTTTCCCCAGGTCCGTGTGCCCATCCGGGCCCGCCTCCTGTGGCCGGCGCATCCTGGGCGGCCAGAGGGGCCGTGGGCACAGCCCTGGAGGGAGCGGGGGTCCGCTTTGGAGGAACTGAGGCCAGTTCCCGCTGGCTGTCCGGTGAGGGACCCGCCTGGAGGACGCACACGGCACAGTACCTGTGAGGCCGGCCCCCCCAGGCGCTGCCGGCTACAGCGGGTTCCTCCGCACGTCGATCATGCCCGGGCTGGACCTCCGCAGCTCCCGCCGCGGCCTGGCCAGGGGCCCGAGGTTCCAGGGCGGCCCCGCCTCCGCCCCCGGCAGGACTCGGCCCAGGGGGGGCTCCGCGGCCTCGGGCGCGCCCTGCTCCTCCGCGCCCAGGCTGGAGCGCTTCCAGGTCAGCGGCAGCGGGGCGCGCGCCGGGCCCCTCTCCTCCCGGGCTCCGGGGGCGCCCTCCGCCGGGGGCGGCTGCCAGGGCTCCTCCTCCTTCCCCGGCGGCGGGCGGCTCTCGGGGCACAGGCCCTTCTCCCCGCCTGCACGGATCGACACCCCCGTCAGAAAGGGGGTGCAGTCCCTCAGCCCCCGCTCCCCGCCCGGCAGAGCCGGCACTGGAGCCAGGCCTTCCCCGCAGTGGCCTCACCCCGGCTCCGGCTCCGGCTCCGGCTCTGCCGCAGATCCTGGTTCGCCCACACGTGGCGGCCCAGCTCCCGCTCCAGCGCCTGGATCCGGCCCTCGTACTGCCGCCTGCTGTCGGCCAGCCCCTCGCCGAGGTGGTCTGGGGGACAGAGGAGGGCGGTGGGCCGGGGCCGGGGGCCGGGGGCCGGGGGCCGGGGGCCGGGGGGCGGGGCCGGGGCCGGGCCGGGGCGGGGCCGGGGCGCGGCCTCACCTCGGCTCTGCTGCAGCAGCAGCTGCACGTGCTGCTCGTGCTCCTGCTGCTGCAGCGTCAGCTGCCGGTCCGCCTCCAGGCGCTGCCGCTCCAGCGCCGCCTCCAGCCAGGACGCCAGCCGCTGCTGCTCCTCCAGCTGCATCTCCAGCTCCGAGACGGCCACCTGCTGCTGGTGCTGCTCCTCGCGCAGCGTCACCACCTGCGTGCGCCCGGCTGCCCTCAGGCCGGGCCCGCCCCCGCCCCGCCCCTCCGGGTGCCACTGAGAAGCCAGGGCCTCAGACCCTGCTCACAGCTCCCCCCGCCGCGATTCCCAAACCAGGAGGGTGACCGCCATCCCCGCCTCAAACTTCAGGGCTTCCCGGGGCCAGGCTTTCGGTCTCGGCGGGGGCCTGTGGGCTGCTGCCCTACTGTGTGACAGAGCGGCCCGGGCCAGCGGGCACAGGCCACCCTGAAGGTGCCAGTCAGACGGGAGGGGGAGGAGACAGTCTCGCTGACAGAACAGGCTTTAGAGAGAGACGGACGGACGGACGCACGGACAGGCGGCGCTGACCCACCTTGTCGAAGTACTTGCAGAGCAGGGCCCTGGTCTCGGAGGAGGACAGGTAGCTGAGCTTGGCCATGAGGTTCATCTCGCACTGGGACAGCAGCGAGGCCGAGGCCCGCAGCGCCCGCTGCCGGGAGGTGATGGCCTCGTTCTTGTACTCGATGGCCGCGTCCAGGGCCTCGATGGCCTCGTCCAGCTGGAACAGCGTCCGCTCCTCCTGCGGGGACGAGGCATGCGCGGGGTGGGGTTCCCCGTTTCCTGAGCGACTAAGTCCTAGTACCCTGCCACAACTGACCCCTAAGAGTCCCCTTCTCCTGGGCTGTCACAGCCAGACACCCCCGGGGAGGCTGGGGCTCTGCGCTCAGGGAGCTGGGAAGAGGGAGGGCCTGGCAGGACCCCTCGGTCCCGACGCTCATGGGAGCTGAGCTGCGGGGGAGCTCGGCGCACACAGGAGGCAGCCTGGTCCAGCCGGAGGGAGCGGAGGGCGGCCCCCAGCGCGAGCCCTCCCCCCCTGGCGCTGCGGCCGCGGGCGCACCTGGGGCGAGAGCAGGCTGCCCTGGCGCAGCTTGCCGTCGATCTCCAGGCGCTGCTTCAGCAGCGAGTCCTTCTCCTGGCGCAGGGCGCCGATCTCGCCGCGGATCTGCTGCTGGCTCTGGGCGCTGCCCTGGCGCAGCTGCCCGCTCTTCTCCGACAGCTCCCGCTCCAGGTGCTCCAGCCGGCTGGACACGCGCACGATGTCCTCCGTCAGGGCCTGGGGGCACCGGGCGTCAGGGAGGGGGGCCCTCGGAGAGGTCCCCACCAGCCCGGACTCGGGGGCGCCCCCACCTGGCTGGACCGCAGGCGCTTGCTCTCCAGCCCCGTCTTCTCCTGCACCAGCGCCTCCTTCTTGGCCAGGATGGCCTCCCGCTTGCGCAGCTCCTCCCCCAGCTCCTCCAGCGCCCGCCGCTGCTGCAGCACCTTCTCCATCTCCTGGTCCAGCCACCGCTTCTGCTCCTCCACCTTCTGAGGGGGCGTGGGGAGGGGAGGCGGGCGCTCAGTGCCAGGCTCAGGCCGCGGGGGCAGCCCCCGGTGCGGCCGAGGGTGCGGGGCCCACCTGCTGCTGCTCCAGGGAGAACACGGAGCCGCTGCTGCCGCTGCGCCACTTCCTCCGGAACGCCGCCATCTCCTCCGTCTTGATGCGCAGGATCTTCTGCTGCTGCTCGTGCTTCAGCTCCAGCTCCTGGAGGCGCAAGGGGGCGCAAGGGGGAGCTCAGGGGGAGCTCAGGGGGGAGCTCAGGGGGAGCTCAGGGGGGAGCTCAGGGGGAGCTCAGGGGGGAGCTCAGGGGGGAGCTCAGGGGGGAGCTCAGGGGGGAGCTCAGGGGGAGCTCAGGGGGGAGCTCAGAGGGGATCTCAGGGGGATGCACAGGGGGGAGCACAGGGGGAGCTCAGGGGGATGCACAGGGGGGAGCTCAGGGGGATGCACAGGGGGGAGCTCAGGGGGATGCACAGGGGGGAGCTCAGGGGGAGCTCAGGGGGGAGCTCAGGGGGGAGCTCAGGGGGGAGCTCAGAGGGGATCTCAGGGGGATGCACAGGGGGGAGCACAGGGGGAGCTCAGGGGGATGCACAGGGGGGAGCTCAGGGGGATGCACAGGGGGGAGCTCAGGGGGATGCACAGGGGGGAGCTCAGGGAGGAGCTCAGGGGGATGCACAGGGAGGAGCTCAGGGAGGAGCTCAGGGGGATGCACAGGGGAGGAGCTCAGGGGGATGCACAGGGGGAGCTCAGGGGGGAGCTCAGGGGGATGCACAGGGGGGAGCTCAGGGGGGAGCACAGGGGGGAGCTCAGGGGGATGCACAGGTGGGAGCTCAGGGGGATGCACAGGGGAGGAGCTCAGGGGGATGCACAGGGGAGGAGCTCAGGGAGGAGCTCAGGAAGGAGCTCAGGGGGATGCACAGGGAGGAGCTCAGGGGGATGCACAGGGGGGAGCTCAGGGAGGAGCTCAGGGGGGAGCTCAAGGGGATGCACAGGGGAGGAGCTCAGGGGAGGAGCTCAGGGGGATGCACAGGGGGGAGCTCAGGGGGATGCACAGGGGGGAGCTCAGGGAGGAGCTCAGGGGAGGAGCTCAGGGGGATGCACATGGGGGAGCTCAGGGAGGAGCTCAGGAAGGAGCTCAGGGGGATGCACAGGGAGGAGCTCAGGAAGGAGCTCAGGGGGATGCACAGGGAGGAGCTCAGGGGGATGCACAGGGGGGAGCTCAGGGAGGAGCTCAGGGCGGAGCTCAAGGGGATGCACAGGGGAGGAGCTCAGGGGAGGAGCTCAGGGGGATGCACAGGGGAGGAGCTCAGGGGGATGCACAGGGGGGAGCTCAGGGGGATGCACAGGGGGGAGCTCAGGGAGGAGCTCAGGGGAGGAGCTCAGGGGGATGCACAGGGGGGAGCTCAGGGAGGAGCTCAGGGGGGAGCTCAGGGAGGAGCTCAGGGGGGAGCTCAAGGGGATGCACAGGGGAGGAGCTCAGGGGGATGCACAGGGAGGAGCTCAGGGAGGAGCTCAGGAAGGAGCTCAGGGGGATGCACAGGGAGGAGCTCAGGGGGATGCACAGGGGGGAGCTCAGGGAGGAGCTCAGGGCGGAGCTCAAGGGGATGCACAGGGGAGGAGCTCAGGGGAGGAGCTCAGGGGGATGCACAGGGGAGGAGCTCAGGGTTATGCACAGGGGGGAGCTCAGGGAGGAGCTCAGGAAGGAGCTCAGGGGGATGCACAGGGAGGAGCTCAGGGGGATGCACAGGGGGGAGCTCAGGGAGGAGCTCAGGGCGGAGCTCAAGGGGATGCACAGGGGAGGAGCTCAGGGGAGGAGCTCAGGGGGATGCACAGGGGAGGAGCTCAGGGGGATGCACAGGGGGGAGCTCAGGGGGATGCACAGGGGGGAGCTCAGGGAGGAGCTCAGGGGAGGAGCTCAGGGGGATGCACAGGGGGGAGCTCAGGGAGGAGCTCAGGGGGATGCACAGGGGGGAGCTCAGGGAGGAGCTCAGGGGGGAGCTCAAGGGGATGCACAGGGGAGGAGCTCAGGGGAGGAGCTCAGGGGGATGCACAGGGGGGAGCTCAGGGAGGAGCTCAGGGGAGGAG